AACAATTTGACAGTATTGTGATTGAGATTGAACTAAATAAGACCAAAAGTCGCAATTTCCTGGAGGCCTTGCCCCAGACCCCTGCTGCAGTTTGTTTGGCGGTGCTATGCAGCCAATCGCTCAACTCTGAATTTTTGGCACCCCTCAGAGCAACAACAAAACCTTGATATTTAACCATAACCTAACATGGCCATAACGCAATTACCCTGGTCATCTATTCAATCGAGTGTGCATGATGCCAACAAAATGTTGATATTTACCTACTGTAGGTACAGGTAGATGATCAGGGGGTTAACCCCCCCTAGAATCTCTCTGACCCCTCTTATAAAGTGTTCAACTTCACCAAAACTTCGCTTCACCCCTCCTATTTTGTATGAAAGTCGTTAACCCTAACCCCTGCTGAAGCTCGCTCAGTGGTGCTGCTTGCACCCCACTAGAAATTTTTCCACCCCTCCTTTAAAAAAAATGAAAATCCGCCCTTGCACACAGTCACATAACCAATTATCAATAACAGTGTCAGTTAAATTTATTTAATTTTATTATATAAAGTATAGTGCTTTATAGAGATTTCGAGCACTGATAAGTGATAATCTCACATGTGAGATTATTTATGATAATCTCACATGTGAAAATTTTTCGCTTTTCAATTTTCTCTTTTCTGTAAAAATTATCGCTTTTCAAAGACTGTCCTTTATAGGTATATAATAAACAAAAAAAATACATGGGTGCTTGGAAATACCAGATTTATTTCTCGTGTTGAACATGAAATAAATCTGGTATTTCCGCGCACCCATGTATTATTCTCTATGTAATATACGATTTATATTATGTTTATCATGTTAGTAAACTTAAAAATCATTACTGTGTGAGAAATGCAATAGAGATTGTGGGATTTGTTGCTTGTCAGATCATTTAATACAATTTCACTTGTAGGTGCTCCGATTATCAGTAGCAATAGTAAAAAATAATTAATTAATGCAAGCCCAAAACATTTTTTGTTGGCT